TGAATTTACAAGACCTAAGCAGAGCAGTGGAAGACAGGGAGTCTTGTAGATGCCTCATCCATAGGGTCACCATGAACTGGGATTGACATAAAGGTGGTTAACAACAACAAATCCCTGGGCTGGATGTCATCTGGACTGTTAACACCATAACTGGGATTTGGGTCATGCATCATCCAGACTTCCAGGGGGAGGACATTTTATTTGGCCTGTGCAGACAGGGCCAAAGACTCTTTGCTGATCTCCATTCTCTCTAGGAAATAGATAAATAAAGAAATAAATACTCACTGAGTGAAACATGTGTCAGCGCCAAGCTCTTCTCTTGTCATTTTTATGGAATTGTGTCATTGTGCTTTACTTTGATAAAGGAGGAAGATCATAATGGAGAGAGTTAATTAGCAGTTCTCAGAGTCTGTGGGACAGGAAGAGCTTGCCAGCCATAACAGGGAGATCTTGAATGCAATAACAATGGGCCACCTTCTTTGGCACAAATGTGTGTATATATCAGAGTGAGGAGGGAAGTAAAAGAATAAAGAACACATTCTAATAATCTGACATGCAGATAGGATTGTGGACAGGAGGAGGCCAGTGCATGATTTGGAGCCTGCAGAGAGCAGTACATTGATGGAACCTGATGCTTAGAAAAGAAGGCGGTAGGCAGGACCACTTTAAAAAATAATAATTTGGGGGCACTTTCATACTACATAATTGAAGTGCAATATATTTGGGATGAAGCAGAATGTAAGGGGAGGGTATTACAAGTGACAAAAATCCAGATTTTAAAACCCACACACATACCCTCTCTCACTGTGTGTGTTTCTCTCTCACACACACATTCCAAATGTTCAATGCCTCAAGGAGATTGATACCTGCTTTGCTAATGATCTTCTCCTTGAGGAAATATCCTCTACACTCTCAATTAACAAGCTGACGATATCTGCAAAGGCTATGTTATTCCTGCTTAATCTAGCATTAAATTTGCCCTGCAAGATGAAAACTATCAAAGGATCATCCTCCACAATTTTACCTAGTTATATGTCCAGCTAATCCCAGTTTTTATCACTAAAATTCTGAGAAGGATGGGGATGTATTTATAACAAACCAACTGAAGAATCCTCACCTGTAATAATGGAATGAAATAGAAGCAAATGTGGGGCAACTCCTATTTTTGTGTGCTAGTAGTTCAATTTGTTGAAATGCTTAATAGTAATCTCTTGGTGTAGAGGTTTGAGTGTTGGACTATGACTCTGCACCAGGGTTTGATTCTTGGCTTAGCCATGAAACCCACTGGGTGACCTTGGACAAGTCACATGCTCTCAACCTCAGGGGAAGGCAATGGTCAGACCAGAGTATTCTGGCAACTGACTAATCCAGGTCAGACCAGAGTATTCTGGCAATACAATACAATACAATACAATACAATACCAGAGTATCCTGGAATACTCTGGTCTGACCTGGACTCACATGACTAGTCAGGTGAGTGCGATGGTCAGGAGTGCCTGTTTTCAGCTTCGGCTGATACGCCAACTGCACCCTTATCTGGATGTGAGGGA